CGCTAAAAAACCTCTAAAAACTTCTGAAGCTTCCCTCTCCCTCTGTTGTTGACTGTTGGTGTGATATTATAATTTTTTTTCACTAATTAAACAAAAAACTTGCCCCAGACATGCGGAAATAATAACGAAACGACCTCAGAACAATAACGAAACGAATACAATAACGAAATACGAAGCATTTACAAAACGTGTTTAAAAATTCGTTTTTTTAAAAAATTGCTCCAGAATAGTTCGTTATCGTTTTGTAATTTAAAAAATTAACGAATTATTAACGAATTACGAATTAACGAAACGAAACCGCCCAGCCCTAGTCCCCACTGCCATATAACCTAATTCAAAGCAGATAATGTGGGATTTTATACAGCTATGTGGAAAGGGCCTGATTGAAAATACTTGTAGAAGTATTTTAGACCTAAAGCATGCCTAAAGATACCATGGATTGAAGCTGGGACCCTCTGTGTGCAAGACGTTTCCCATAAGAATATAAAGCAGGCAAAGATTGATCATTGAGGGAGGGACGGAGAATGCTGGCTTAGAGGGGAAAACAGAAGTGCTCAACTACAGTGGTGCTGTCCTAGCGAAAATCACTCTAGTGCTACTTCTGTTAATATCATAAGAATGGCTCAATCTAGGCCAACATACTACACAACCCACAAATCACAATTTGACTGCTTTTTTATGAGCATTAGATCTTAAGAACAACATCATCCAGGAGTTAGTGGAAGGGCCAAGAGGCTAATCTGCAAACCAGAAAGTCACCAGTTCATATCTTACCTCTGCTTTTGGAAAGCTATCCTCTCTCACCCCAATTCCCCATTTGCAAAGTATGCATAAAATAATACTAGCTTACCCCCTTACTGTGGGGTGGTGCAGTGGATTAAACTGCTGAGCTGCTGAGTTTGCTGACCAAAAGGAGCAGGGTAAGCTCCCGCTGTTAGCCCCAGCTTCTGCCAACCTAGCAGTTCGAAAACATGCAAATGTGAGTAGATCACTAGGTACCGCTTCTGTGGGAAGGTAACTGTGCCGCATGTAGTCATGCCAGCCACATGAACTTAGGAGGCATCTACGGACAACGCCAGCTCTTTGACTTAGAAATGGAGATGAGCACCACCCTCCAGAGCAGTGGTTCTCAACCTGGGGGTCGGGACCCCTGAGGGGGTTGCGAGGGGGTGTTAGAGGGGTCGCCAAAGACCATCAGAAAACACAGTATTTTGTGTTGGTCATGGGGGTTTTGTGTGGGAAGTTTGGCTCAATTTAAGCATTGGCAGGGTTCAGAATGCTCTTTGATTGTAGGTGAACAATAAATCCCAGCAACCACAACTCCCAAATGTCAAGGTCTATTTTCCCCAAAATGCCACATTTGGGCATATTGAGTATTTGTGCCAAGTTAGGTCCAGATCCATCATTGTTTGAGTTCACAGTGCTCTCTGGATCTAGGTGAACTACAACTCCCAAACTCAAGGTCAGTGCCCACCAAACCCAGTATTTTCTGTTGTTCTTGGGAGTCCTGTGTGCCAAGTTTGGTTCAATTCCATCTTTGGTGGAGTTCAGAATGCTCTTTGATTGTAGGTGAACTATAAATCACAGCAACTACAACTCCCAATTGACAAAATCAATCCCCTGCCCAACCCCACTAGTATTCAAATTTGGGTGTATCGGGTATTTGTGCCAAATTTGGTCCAGTGAATGAAAATGCATCCTATATATCAGATATTTACATTACAATTCATAACAGTAGCAACATTACAGTTAATAACAAAAATAATGTTATGGTTGGGGGTCACCAAAACATGAGGATCTGTATTAAGGGGTCATGGCATTAGGAAGGTTGAGAAACACTGCTCCAGAGTCAGACTAAACTTAATGTCAAGGGGAAACCTTTACCTATAACTTTTTAGCTTACTTGAGTCGCCTGTTGGGATGAAAAATGTGGTATAGAAATAAAGCAAATAAATAAATAAATACTTTATAAAGCTGTTGTAAATATTAATTAGAGAATGCATCTGAGCACTCATGCATTATAGAGCTAAATAATGATCAATCATTCGAATCCCGAAGAACGAAGGCAGGGAAGCAGAAAGGTGGTTCATTCAAGAGGATCAGCCACTGCAGCTCATAATCATGCAAAACAAAGCTAAATTGCAGAATGGTTCATGTAGTGCCAGGATCCCCAACCTGGCACTTTCTGTCTGTGTTAAAACTACAACTCCCATGGGGCTGTAGTCTACCATATCAAAAGGCACCTCAGATTAGAGAAAATTGCCATGCGCAATCCAAACAAAATGTCTTGATGTGTGTATTTGTACATGTTTATGCAGAAACATGCAGAAATTCTTTGAAGGACCATTTTTCCTGCCATTTCATGTGTTGTCACAAATGTCTTTGGCAACCACTAAAGCTCCATAGATAGATAGATAGATAGATAGATAGATAGATAGATAGATAGAGGCCTCTTCTACACCGTCATATAAAATCCAGATTATCTGATTTCAACTGAATTATATGGCAGTGTAAAGGTAAAGGTTTCCCCTTGACTAGCTGAGTCCGACTCTGGGGAGTGGTGCTCATCTCCACTTCTAAACCGAAGAGCCGGCGTTGTCCATAGGCACCTCCTAGATCATGTGGCCAGCATGACTGCACAGAGCACCGTTAGCTTCCTGCCAAAGCTATTGATCTATTCACATTTGCATGTTTTCGAACTGCTAGGCTGGCAGAAGCTGGGGCTAACAATAGGAGCTTACCCCATCCCACAGATTCAAACAGCCGACCTTCCAATCAGCAAGTTCTGCAGCTTAGTGGTTCAATGCAGTGTGCCGCTGCGGCAGTGTAAACTCATATAATCCAGTTCAAAGCAGATTATCTGCTAGGATAATCTGTATTATATGGCAGTATAGAAGAGCCAGATTCTCTCTCTCTCTATATATATATACACACACACCTCTCTGTGATGCAAATATAGTTTTTCCTCAGATCAGATATATGTATCTAACACTAAAATTCCTGCTCCTTGTTTTAGTACAACTTCAGTAGTAGCGAAGACTTCCAGGCGGCACATTTCATTCCTCAAGGAGGGGACATCTGTCTCAGAGTTTTCCTTTAATGTGGAACATGACCTTATTAATGCACCTATTTCCATCCTGTATTGCTCTCAGAACTCTTTTTTTATTTTTTTTCTTTGAAAAATATCAAACTTCAAACAATTTGCTTCTCTCTCTCTCTTTCTCTTGGGAAGCCAAGTGGATGCTTGTTTTATTTTCCAGTCCCATTAGTCTCATTTTTTAATTAAAATGTCTCGTTATCAGCTTAACCCTTTCAAATCCTCAAATCCCACACATCATGCCTGGATCTTAAATTTCAAAAAAAAAAAATAGACAGAAGGTTGTAAACAGGAGAGCTGGATGGAGAGAAGAAAATATCTGTAGCCAATAAAATCTGAAAATAGCCCTGAACTGGGATTTTGTCCTCCACCGAAACCTAAATATTTGCAAAGACAGTGGCCGAGAAGTTGGTTTTTCTGTTATTCCTCATTCCACCCTCCAAAAAAGATCCATTTCTCGGCAGAACAGCTCTTCTCGCTCTCTATTTTGGAAAATAAGATTGAGGAAATGTGAGGCCCCTTGCATACAGCTGAATAAAATCCCACATTATCTGCATTGAACTGGGATATATGGCAGTGTGGACTCAGATAACCCAGTTCAAAGCAGATATTGTGGGATTTTCCTGCCTTTATATTGTATGGCTGTGTGGAAGGATCCTGAGTTGTTTTCCCCATATTCGAGAAATGATGAAACCATAACTAAAAGACGCAGAAACTGAATAAAAGTTATTTGAAAAAGAAAAGAAAGTAAGTATGGAAAGCAGAAGATATTAAATTTGCAGGAGGGCTGCATCAAGTGGACAATGGCCCCTTCCACACAGCTGAATTGAACTGGGATATATGGCAGTGTGGACTCAGTTCAAAGCAGATATTGTGGGATTTTCTGCCTTGATATTCTGGGATATATAGCTGTGCAGAAGGCCCCTATATGAAATGTGGATGCTAGCGACCCTTCCACACAGCCCTATAACCCAGAATATCAGGAAATCCCACATTATCTGCTTTGAACTGGAATATATGGCAGTGTTGGACACGATAACCCAGTTCAAAGCAGATATTGTGGGATTTCCAGCCTTGATATTTTGGGTTATAGGGCTGTGTGGAAGGGGCCTGAGTCCACACTGCCATATATTCCAGTTCAAAGCAGATATTGTGGGATTTCCAGCCTTGATATTCTGGGATATAGGGCTGTGTGGAAGGGCCCCTAGTCTCCACATTTCATATAGGGCTCTTCCACACAGCTATATAACCCAGAAGGTGGAAAATCCCTCAATATCTGCTTTGAAGTGAGTCCACATTGCCATATATCCCAAACATCCTTGCGTACATTCACACTGTAGAATCAATGCAGTTTGAAACCACTTTAGCTCCCATGGCTCAAGGCTATGTAATTCTAGGAATTGGGAGTTTTATAAGGTCTTTCACCTTCTTTTTCCACACAGCCCTATAACCCAGAATATCAAGGCAGGAAATCCCACAATATCTGCTTTGAACTGGGTTATCCGAGTCCACACTGCCATATATTCCAGTTCAAAGCAGATAATGTGGGGTTTAATTCAGATGTGTGGAAGGGGCCAAAGAATGCTGGTGCCTCAAAAACAACTGAAACTCCCCTAACAGTTAAAGGGAGCCAAACTGCATTAATTCCACTGTGTAGATGCACCCTCCATCAAGCGGGCTTTATGGAAAGTGGAGACCAAACATCCTTGATCTGTTTTGTTGATCTCCAAGTAGCTTCTTCCTGTTCCTAAGTCACCCCCAGTGCCTTAAATTATAAATGGCCCCCCATGGCATCACCACCATCATCATCATCATCTTCAGGTAGTAGTGCTCAGAGAGGGCAGAGGATGGGCTGATGAGGTGTGAGAATGAGGAAGTGAAAGAAAAAGGCATCTCTCCTTACTGTTCTTTTCCTCCCCACTGGGCTGGCTCTTTGGGCTTTAACTTTCTTCCACCTGGAGGGATTTGTTTTCCCAAAGCCTCCGTGGAGCTCCACCGCAGCCTCCCTCTCTCTTTCTGTGTTGGACCCACGGGTCACGCGTGGCGGTGCCGAAGAGGAGGAGAGGATCCCTTCCGAAGCGGCGAAGGCATCCCAGTCCCGGCCAGAGGGGTTTGCGGCAGATTCCTTTGGGGGAAGGAAGGAGACTCCGAGGCAGAGAGCGAAAGAGTTGCTCCGCGGAGTTGGAAGGGACGGGGAGGCGGAGGGAGGGAGGGAGGGAAGGAGGGAGGACTCCTCTGCCTTTGCAGGATCCACCCTCTAATTACAGCCTGGGAGCCTTTGAGGGACCGCTGGTAGCCGGGCAGGGAGGGGGGGCTGCGGGGGGAGCCATGGGGGTGCCAGAGAGGAGGAAGAGGAGGAGGAGAACCAGCAGAAGAAGGGGAGGAGGGATTGGGGAGGGGAAGAAAAAGAGGAAGAGGAGAGGGAGAAGAGGGGGAGGAAAGGTAGCAGAAGAGGAGGAGGAGTTGGGGAGGAAGAAAAAGAGGAAGAGGAAAAGTAGCAGGAGGAAGAAGAAGAGGAGGGGAGGGAGAGGAAGCAGCAGAAGAAAGGCAGGAGGAGTTGGGGAGGAAGAAAAAGAGGAAGAAGAAAAGGAGCAGGAGGAAGAAGAGGAGGGGAGGGAGAGGAAACAGCAGAAGGGCAGGAGGAGTTGGAGAGGAAGAAAAAGAGGAGAGGAAGCAGAAGAGGAGTAGTTGAGGAGGAAGAAAAAGAGGAAGAGGAGAGGAAGCAGAAGAGGAGGAGTAGTTGAGGAGGAAGAAAAAGAGGAAGAAGAAAAGGAGCAGGAAGAGAAAGGAGGAATAAAAGGAGGTGCAGGAGAAGAGAGAGGAAGCAGAAGAAGAAGAGGAGGAGGAGGAGTTGGGGAGGAAGAAAAAGAGGAAGAAGAAAAAAAGCAGGAGGAAGAAGAGGAAGGGAGGGGCAGGAAGCAGCAGAAGAAGGGCAGGAGGAGTTGGGGAGGAAGAAAAAGAGGAAGAGGAGAGGAAGAAGAGGAAGAAGGAGAAGAGGAGAAGGGGAAGAGGAAGAAGGGCAGGAGGAAATGAGGAGGAAGAAAAAGAGGAAGAGGAGAGGAAAAAGAAAAGGAGCACTAGGAGAAGGAAGATGAAGAAGAGGAGGAGATGAAGAAAGGGCGATGACAGGAAGCAATTGAAGAAGGGCAGGAAGAGAGAAAGAGGAGAGGAGGAGAGGAAGAAGAATTGGGGAGAAAGAGGAAGAGGTAGAGGAGAGGAAGAAGAAAAAGAGCTGTAGGAGAAGGAAGAGAAAGGAATATGAAGAAAAAAGAGGAGGAGAAATGGAAGAAAAGAGGGATGATAGAAAGCAGCAGAAGACAGGCAGGAGAAGAAGAGGAAGAGGAGGGGAGGAGGAAAAAGAGGAGAGGAAGAGGGGGAAGATGGAAAGAAGAAGTGGAGGAGGAGTTGGGGAGGAAGAAAAAGAGGAAGAGGAGGAAGGAGGAGGAGAGGAAGCAGAAGAAGAAGGGCAGAAGGAACTGGGTTATGTGGCAGTCTACAACTGTGTGGAAGGGGCCCAGGGGAGGAGAAAGAATAAGAGGACCAGAAGAGGAAGAAAATATGGAAGACAGCTCCTTCTACACTGCCATATAATACAAATTATTAAAGCAGATAATCCATATCTGCTTTGAACTGGTTTATATGAGTTAACACTGACACATAATGCAGTTTAAAGCAGATAAACTGGATTTAATTTGGCAGTGTAGAAGGCACACAGGATTCCTATGACAAACAGAAAACACTAGAAGGGTTTGGTGGGCATTGACCTTGAGTTTTGGAGTTGTAGTTCACCTACATCCAGAGAGCACTGTGGACTCAAAGAATAATGGATCTGGACCAAACTTGGCACGAATCCTCAATATGCCCAAATATAAACACAGATGGAGTTTGGGGAAAATATTATTTATTTATTTATTCGCGTCACTTCTATCCCACCCATATCAATCCGAAGGCGACTCAGGGCAGCGTACAAATTGGTAAAAATTAGATGTCATATATAAAAATACATACATCGGTTAAAAGCAAAAAAAAAATAAAACCATAAAACCAATAAACAATAAAATTATAAAAATGATGTCTTCTTGTTCAATTCCTCAACCGTTCCATCATCTTAGCTGTTGACATTTGGGAGTTGTAGTTTCTGGGATTTATAGTTCACCTACAATCAAAGAGCATGCTGAACCCCACCAACGACAGAATGGGGGCAAACGTCCCACACAGAACTCCCATGGCCAACAGAAAATACCTAAGGCCATCCAGTCCAACTCCCTTCACCAGGGCAAGAAAACATAATCAAAGCCCTCCTGACAAAGAGCCATCTAGCCATAGATATAGATAGATATATGTGATACACACACACATACAGATATAGTATCATAGATTTGAAAGGGACCCCTAAAGAAGGACAATTATATGTCGCATGTTCCAGAGTAGGCAAACCAGACAATCTCCACATCAACACTGGCAAAGAAACAACAAGAAATACTGTTTACCCACAAGCATAAAGAAATTACATATATTGGAAACCAACACTTTCTCATAACTTTATTTTCCAGGTCACCAGACTGGGACACAACAACGCGTGGGAGGGGACTGCTAGTCATATTAATAAGTTGCTATTATTATTAAAGCTTAGAAATTTAATACTACTTAACAATGTAAAAGGATGTAATGGTTTGGGTGTTTAGCAGAAATACAGGGCCTTTCCAAACAGCCATATAACCCGGAATATTAAGGCAGAAAATCCCACAAGATTTGCTTTGAACTGGGTTATCTTGAGTCCACACTGCCATATATTCCAGTTCAAAGCAGATAATGTGGGGTTTTATTCAGCTATGTGGAAGGGGCCAAAGAAAGATGTTGAATGTTATTTTAATGCTAAATGCATCAACCATTTGAAGAAGGAAAACACATTTGTTTGAGAGATAAAAATGTAGCAAGGACTGGAAAGAAGACAATTATCAGTTTAGAGAGGACTGAAATAACTTGAATCTTATAGACTGCTGAAAGGAAGCAGTCACATTTCCCTCATTTAATCTTTATTTGCTACGTTATCTTTTATTTTTTTTTAGTGTCTCACCACTTTGCCTCTTCTTCTTTTCCCCTTTCTTTTCAAAAATATTTATAGAATATTGGTGTTGTTGAAAATTCTTAATAAAAAGTATCAAGCTGGGACCCCAAATCGGTTCCCCACCACAATAAAATTACTCTTCCCCACTTTGGGCTCTTGGGATGGAAAGGGAGCTGCCTAGCAAAATCAACACTGTTGTGGCTCAAAGATCACTGCTGCTTTTTCAAACCTTTCCTCATACATATTGCATGGAAGATTTGGGGAATTCTGGTTTTTTTCTTCACTCATATCTGGCAGGAGGGAAGGGACATCTGGCCTTCCAGATGTTGTTGAATTGCAATTCCCATTTCTCCTTGCCCTTGGTTGCAGTTGAATCACATTTTGAATGCCTATGCCCTTTTGGGAAGAACAGTCCTCGGTTTGAGGGTGGTTGATATAAAGGGTTTTTGAGTACAAGTCTGAATAATAATAATAATAATAATAGAATCTTCAGTAGGGAATTAGGAATTACACAACAACTCAGGCCACAATTTTCCCACTCTCAGCTGAGATGTTTGTTTGTTTGTTTATAGTATTTATTTTCTGCCCTTCTCACCCCGAATAGGACTCGGGGCGGATTGCAGAACATACAATTTTAATCCAATCCTAAATATACTGATTCGGAAAACGTTCACATTGGCATAAACACACAATTGCAAAATAAATAGTACAGTTCAATCTTGAATTAACCCAATTAAGAAAGCTGTTTTGAAAAAGTGACATTAATGCCATTTTATACACTAACAAGACAGACAATTATACATAGAGGTATATATATACCCTTTTTCCATAATCGGCATCTTGGAGGCTTTGTGCTCAGTTTCATCCATTGGGGGGGGGTGCTGTCACTCCATCTCCTTGCTGAAGAACTTTGTTTGTAACTTCCTCCTTGTTGATCCAATTGCTGGTAATACTTATGGGTGCCTCAGAATACCTCCCCACTTTTTAAGTGGTACCAATTTATCTACTCACATTTGCTTTCAAAACGTTAGGTAGATGGAAACTGGCTAAAGGCCAGAAGATCACCCTGACCCTTGCTTCAAAGTGGCAGCTGTTCGACTGACAAGATTTACTGCAGCTTCTGGTTAACCTGCTGTGCTAAAGCCCAGCCCATATATTGTTAATTCTGCTCAAGTTACTCCCCTTCTACACTGCCATATAAAATCCACATTATCTGCTTTGAACTGGATTATATGGCAGTGTAGAACACATAATTCAGTTCAAAGCAGATAATGTGAATTATCTGGATTATATGGTAGGGTAGAAGGTGCCTTAGAAACAGCATTTCTATATCTACGCATAGCAGTGTTGTGGTTTGCCTTTTGGATTATAATGCTGAGATACCACTGAAATTGCTGTTTGGCCTTGGAAAACCATTGGGTCACCTTGTGCAAGTCACACTCTCTCAGCCTCAAAGGAAACAATTAGAATAAATTTTGCAAAGAAAACTTTATCATAGGGTCTCCACAAATCGGAGTCAACTTGAAGAAGCAGCCATTCCATCAGTATAGGCAGATTTTCTGAACCTGTTGTCCACTTGCAAGCCCGGAGCCCCCGGTAGCACAGTGAGTTAAAGCCCTGTGCTGGCAGGACTGAAGACCAACAGGTCACAGGTTCGAATCCGGGGAGAGGCGGATGAGCTCCCTCTGTCAGCTCCAGCTCCCCAAGCGGGGACATGGGAGAAGCCTCCCACAAGGATGATAAAAACATCAAGTCCTCCGGGCATCCCCTGGGCAACGTCCTTGCAGACGGCCAATTATCTCACACCAGAAGCGACTTGCAGTTTCTCAAGTCACTCCTGACATGACACACACACTTGTAAGCTACTCCAAGATCCTTTGGAAGATGGGACTGGATATAAGTAAAACTTAATTCATTCATTTATTTTCTTTATACAGGCAGTCCCCGAGTTACAAAAAGTTCTGTAGATTTGTTTTTAAGTTGAATTTGTTTGTAAGTTGGAACAGGTACATTTTAAAGTGTAACTCCAGCCATACACACACACACATGCATGCATGTTTTGGATAGCATTGCGAAGGGTGAACATCCCTGGGGTATCTGTTTTGCTATCTGTTCCCCTATTCAGAAGACTTAACCTCACTTTCATCCTTGTGAGAATTGGATTTCAACAAAATTGGCTTGTTGTGG